GTTTTCCACTGCAGATCTCATCATTTGTTTCCACTTTCCTCTCTGTCTTCTGGTGCCAATGTGCTCAAGCAGTGCCACAACTTGCTGGCACCCATCTCGTGATGTAGTCATCACGCCACTCTCTGTGAGGTCTTCCCTTCTATCCGGTTCCTTCTCTTTTTCTGAACAACAACAACAAAAACAACACTTTTAATTCTCCTGTTGTTTTTGTCCATATTATTTATGTGTCCAAATAGTGGCAGCTTCCTTCTCATCGCTAGCTGCATCATCAGGTCGTCGTCTTCGATGTGCAACATTTCTCTTCGACGTTGGTCAATCTTTGGGTCCAGCTTAGATGCTTAGATGCAGTATCCTTCTGTAGCAATACTGTTCAATCGTCAATAACACTGCCTTAATAATGAACAGTATATAATAGACGACGTTTCGGGCAATGGCTCTTCACAGAAGTCAGATAGGTGGTGCCACTCTACCTCTGGCCTCTCTATGTCCTGTGAAGAAGAGTCATTGCCCAAAACGTTGCCTATTATAGACCTTTCATATTTAAGGCTGTGTTACATGTTGTTGTTGTGCTTGTGCACTACTGCCAATGCAGCATCAGCAAATAATGTATTTTTTTCTTGTGGAATAATTTCTGCATATCAGTAATAGTGTCTTCCAATAAATAACTCCTGTGCAATCTCGTGTAACTCCATGCATAGTACATGTGTGGTCCTGGGGATTGCTTTTTCATTATCATACTTCACGGTGCTGGTCAGTGCAGGTTGATGAAGGGACAGTAGGCTCATGACCGATTCAAATATCACTCGCCACTTATGGTAGCCATGGCTGGGAATCCAACACAGGTCTATCAATTTCACAGCACAGTGCATTAACCACTGAACCAATCGGCCACCCTGTTGTTGATTGTGGATTATAAATAACTATGATGATGATGATGGTAGTGGTTCCAATGAAGTTACAATGAAGTGGTTACGATGATGATGGCAGTGGTTACAATGAAGGGCTGTAATTGGGAGGCGAGGCTGAATTTACATTGACTCCAGGTTGAACTCATGGCGTTATTATTAGGGAGCCTGACAACCACTCCACCAACTGAGATGTCTCAACTTTTTAAACGTAATTTCTGTGTCGGCACAGGATGGAATATGATACGCGCACCACTAAGTCGTGCAGCATTATGCAAGAACCATTACAAAACTCTACCGCAACAGAGTTATCAAATGTATACAATGAATTGGAAGCAAAACATATCTGAACCATAAATAATTGACAAATGCTATTTGTATTATGTTATGCATTGTAATTTGAAACGTATTCAGATATCTGGCATCAGCATGTTACACTCTAGGGACTTCGCATATTATACCATAGACATACGAATGGTATGGATTGACTGATGTGTGGCTGCCAAAATAATTCTGCCACTTGCTTGGACAGGAAGCGTTCTGTTACAGGATTCAGTTTGATGTAAAATCTATTGACAATGACACGAACGCTAATGCCGTCACTTTGTTCGTGTTTCAGCAAATATTTCTCTATTGATTGCTGTTTAACCGACGTTCATGCCCAGCACATTTGTCAAACACTGCTGGATAAGGGCCTCCCCATGCTGTGCCTCCCCACATACTTCACCATGCTGGTCAGTGTGGGTCAGTGAAGGTGGGCAGCTTTTCCACAGGATCACAGAAGTACAGTACAACGTTGTATTTTGCTGCACCACCCTCTGCTGCTAACCACGCAGTCCCATAGCAGCGTATAGAAACCTGTTTGTGCGTGGTGGTCGCCCATCCATCTAACCAATGACTCACGCTCAATATTCCTCAACACCCAGGTCATTTTGAATGCCCATGATGCATGTGTAGTGCAGTCCAACCACGCGGAGACGGGGAATTCTATAAGGGCTGGCAACCGTTTATTAATACACGCTCTCACACTGCATCCTGCACTCACACCAGCGTAGGTGCACTTTGTCCTTCACTTGGACCTGGTATACTATATACGTCGAAATCTCTTCGGCTACCCCTCGGCTCTCTCACCCGTTTGCCCGGGGCGGGGAATCAGCCAACACCAGCCCGCGACGAGGAGCGATACCTATTCCAGCCGATCCTCACCCTGGCTACCCACGACGACCACGTGTCCCTCACGTGGTCCCCCTTAGAAACACTCTCGGTAACTCCTCCCCCTTAGCTCGGCACCGCCCACTTTCTGGAAAGTACTTTCCCCTCCGTGGCCCGTGACGTTACGTCATCCTTGGCCTCGCATAGCTCTCCATCCACTCGGCCTTCCTTACGCTCATCCCTCATTGGCTAATCACAGTACTCCTCTACACATGCATTACTTTAACTTACGAAAAAGTGAGTGTAATATGGCATTTTGTTGTCATACAAAATACGCATTGTTTTTGTTTGGATTATGCAGGCTATTTTCATACATTTTACAATGTGTGTGATGTGAGTGAGAGTGTTAAAGTAACTGTGCATTTATTTTTGTCAACTTTATCCTTTTTTACTATTAATAAAGGTGCTATATTGCATATGTCAGTTTCATGAGTGGGAACAATCTATTAAAATAAGTTTTAATTTTTACCTCTTAACGTTTAAGTGTAGCTACCATCCTTTTTTAAATATCCAAAGTCACTGTTAACCCAATAAGGTCAACTTGGTTTTTGAGTTATATTGTAAGACGTCTTCGAGAATGTGTCAACATTGCATTTTTATAGAAACATTCACGAGACGTGCATGTTTATATAGCGATTCCATCTGGGCGGCGGTGACTAATCACGTGGCCTGTAATCCAGCAGGTCACGTGATTAGCGAGAGTTGGTGGATCTGAAAAATTACAAAATCTTGTGAAACTCCCAACTTCATGCGTTTAGAGTATTTGGCTGCTATACACTTCCGCATGATAAGCCACTTCATTGAGCTATCATTTGTCGTCAGGTCGCTTCTGAAAAAGAGCGACAGTTCAGTTGTTTATAGTCAATACCCTGGCTTGCAAGCAGATTGCAATGCAGCAAAGTGTGGACTGACATCATCCATTTCGTCTTTTATGGGATTGATTGTTTCCCCCTCTCACGCACGGGTGTTCTCCGAGTGCTATGGCAATTTCCTCCCACCTGTATAATATGCACTCACTAAGTGGCTGAAAACATCTTAATATCGAGAGAACTGCAGAGCTGTTGTTGGCGCTGGCCCATCATCTGGCAGCCTTCCAACTCGTGTCTGCGGTTCCTCAGCGATTGTGAGATGCAATTTGCATGAATGATGTTATGTAAAACGAATCATTATGTTTTTATTTTCCCGAGTAAAACATATCTATGTAAATAAAACGTAGTTCTGTAATCTGTGTTTGAGTTGTTGCCGAACAACACCGGGTACAACCACAAAGCGCATCGGAGAGCTGCACGGCATTACCGTAGAAACCGAGGCGGTGGTATGTACAAACTGAAGGAAAACATATGCAATGGCATGGTCACCGTCCACGTAAAATTGCTGGCTGTAAAACTTTAGTGGTCGTGTGTGTCTTTGGAGTCTATTAAGAAGAATGGGAAATAAATAAGCGTATTTAAATACATATTTACGAAGACTAAATTAAATAGCGTGCATGATTTAACAATAAATGTTTTTCTTAAACATCTATTTACTTGTGGTACTGCCATTTCCATGTTGCGTTTGCAGTAGCATCCTGATTGTAACAGCCTACAATTGGATGAAATCTATCACATGCAGCATATATCGCCTTAATACTTGGACCTGTTTAATGTGGCTATATTGGCTATTGTTTTGTGAGGAATGACTGCCACTTCTGTATACAATCGGCCCAACTTCACATTCGGAAATTCACATGGGGCGGATTCTGCACAAATTACTCACCCATTCCACCATTGTTCATTCTTCACAGCCAGCATGTCCCATGGCGTTTGGGGTTAGGAGCAGGGTTAGAGCACAGCCACCAATGGGGATAAACAAAAATCTTTCCAAGGAGCAGAAACTTTCCGCCAATGTGCAGAATGGCGTCGATCAATTCACTTCAAACTAATTCCATTATATGGTCAACGTCAGGCTACTTTATTTTGTATGATGCTGGCTGGGGTGCCACGGTGGCGAGATGTTAACTACCTCGCCTTGTATGCAGGAGGTCGTGGATGCAATCCCGACCCTGATGCCTGTATAATTGGAGTTTGCATGTTTTCCCCGGAGTCACGTGGATTTATCTCTGGGTCCTCCAGTTTTTCCCTCCACAATTGGAAAGATGCATTTAGAGTATTTGGCTGATATGCATTTCCACGTGATAAGCCAATTCGTTGAGCTATAATTTGTGGCCAGGTCGCTTCTGAAATATAACTTTATAGCTCAGTGGACCTTATCTGGTAAATAAAAAGTTTGGTTTAGTTTAAGCTCCACAGCCATGTTATTGTAGAGGAGTACTGCGGGGACCCAATGAGGGACAACCACGGGAAGGGGTCTAAGCAGAAAGGGGAGTGCCAGAAGGCAGAAAGAGAGGAGGGTAAGCAGCAAGACCCCAGGTGAAAGGGAGGAGCCCGGGCTAAGGGGATAAAAGGGGAACCTGGATGGAAGAGGAGGGGAGAGTGAGGAAGGGGAGCCAGAGAGAGAGAGAGAGGAGCCAGGTAGCAGGGAGAAAGGCTCCTGGGCTGGAGGGACAAAGGAGGCTAGGAGTGGATGAGTACGGGGTAGCCCGGACGAAGGTCGAGGGAGTCAGGAGAGAGGGCGACAGTCAGGGAGTAGGGGGGTACTCGAGACAGAAGAGGAGTGGGATGTCGGCATGAATAAACGGCAATCAGCCCTGAACATTCTACCCTGGTCTCTGTCTGAGTCTGTAATCACGAAGCACGACTCTACATTATGTATTTCCCTGCTCATTCTATCGCCTAACCCTTCCCCCACAGTGCTTCTCCCAACAGCCCTTTAGGTTGAATTGGGAGCTGGGGAGTCTCATCGTTGTGTCTGCATTTGTGCGTGTGATATTTGCACGATGGCCAGGTGGGAACTTGCAGATGCAGTACAAGGAGTGGTACAAGCCGCTCGTCTGGTTCTGGATCCTCGTTGGCCTGGCCTACTTCGCCGCCATCCTCAGCATGATTGGGGACTGGCTGCGTGTGCTCTCCCGCAAGACCAAAGAGGAGGTACCTGCTACATTTGTTTTGGCTGCACAGTCGCTATTCACTGAAACGATTCTTTTAACACAACTTTTTGTTTCACTTAACCACGTAAGGCTCCATGAGCTACACAGCTCTTTTTCAGAAGCGACCTGGCCACAAATGATAGCTCATCAAAGTGGCTCATCACGTGGAGATGTATAGCAGCTAAATACTCTAAACGCCACGTTGATTCTAAATGTGGAGGGAAAAACCGAAAGACCCGGAGAAAATTCCATGTGACCACGGGGAGAAGACCCAAACGCCAAATAAACAGGCATCAGGGTTGGGATCGAACGCACGACTTCCTGTATACCAAGCGAGGTAGTTAACATCTCACCACCATGGCAGCCACTTGTTTTTTTACTTTACTTCATGGCTGTACTTTATTTTGATTGCTTTGTATTTATCAATTTGGTGATGCAGGTCACTCTCTATCCTGGTCTCTTGAGTTCACACCGGGTTAAACAAAAAAAACTTAAAACCTTTACATAAATTGGTGAATTAACACTTGACTTAAATAAAAAAAAACAGTGATTTCGGAATGCTTACTTGCTTATTAAGCATAGGCCTTGTCTGTGTTTGCAGCCATAGCCCTGGGTCTTTTGTGAGTCTATATATCATTGTGAGTCTATGGATCTCTATGCGAGTCAGTGGGTCTTTACATGAGTTGATTGTTTTAAGGGAATCCGTCTAATTCTGTGCGAGTTTGTCAGTCTCTATGTGATTATGTGGGTCTCTATCTGAGTCTATGGGAGTTTATGAGTCGATGTGCATATCAGCCAAAATGACCAAGGCTGTAATCATTTTGTCTTGGCGATTTGAAAAGCTTGAATCATAGACCACATTTTCTGGTGGATTATTTTGTCAGTCCCAGCAGATGACATGCAGGTTATTCTGGAGCTGTCTTATTGTTGGGCGAAAGTGGAATAATGAGGCTACATATTCTTTTTAAGAAGTTCTTGAAATGTCTTAATTGTGTTTAAATGCACTAATCTCTGAACTAATACAGAGGTCAACTCACAATCCGATGGTCTGAGTTAAAAACCCTGGTTGCGAATGTATTCACATTGATCAGACCTCCGCTCTCTGAAGTTAACAGTCATGGCTATGAGGATTAACAGTTCCCTACCATAGGAATGTGAAATTTCCACGACTGACTCAGGTTCTCCAATGGATACGAGCACAGCCTCCACGCTCGTTGGAGCAGAAAAAAAACCAGACTTTTTGGCTCGGATTCTGTGGTGGAATTGATTTTGCTGTTACAGGGGTGCTGTTTGCTTTTTAATATTTATACCAATAAAATCGCACTCACACCGTTTAAACCGTCAGTAGAAGTTTGCACAAAGGACGCTCATTTCAAAGTTCAGTGACCGCTTGGTCGCGTTTACAGGCTCTGTCCGTCAGGGTGGAGAGTGAGAGCTCAAGTCTGCGGATCCCACGTCTACCGCATACCAATGGCGCCTTGACCTTTCCCAGACTGGGGGGGGGGGGGGGGGGGGCAGATGCCAGATGTGCTAAAAGGCATTTATTTTCTAAAGCCTCGATTATCATACAAACCAAATGCCTCGTGGCTGACCATCGGTGCAATGTGAAGGTCCGCTTGACGTTGATGTGCCAACTTGGGGTGAACGAGTGGCGATGTGATATTAGTGAGTTCTATTATTATTAATAATGATGAGGCGAGAGGCTGCCTCGTAGTCTTTTGACACGGAATGAGTATCCTCATCACGTGGTCCTTCTTGACCTCCGATGTATAATGTTTACGTGCGAGCAAGAATACAGATACATCTGGCAAAACACGTTCCGCATAGTTGTGTTTATTGTCCTCTTCATGAGATTATACATTGCGTATTATGGATCTAATGTTTTCATATTATAAGCACACATCGATTTACACTGCTTTACTGGTAGGTAATATATTCCATAATTTTATCGATAAATGTGGATCATCAAGTTGATCTAATTTTTTTTCTCCTATTCTGAATTTGATAATAACAGCTAAATGTGCAGAAAGTCCAAAACTTAATTGCTTCTGGAGATAATTAATATTTAATTCTAAAGGTTTTTTTACATGTGCTTTTGATATACTTTCATGAAATATAATCGAGTATTACACAAATGTAGCATGACTACTCTAAAAGTGCAGCAATACAAATTCATGTGGTTCAGGTTCACTGTCCAATACTGCAGGGTTCATAATCTTATAGATATGCGCTATCCACTTCACAGTGGATCCCTTGATGTCATTCACAAGAGGAGGGGGTCAGTGTGTGCCTGAGCGTCATGGTCCAAATTTGCGAAATATAAAAAATCACACGCAAATATATTCAATTGGAATGTACATTGCAATTATTTCCATCGACTGAAAAAAAACATTGGCAGGAGCCACTCCTCAAAAAGAGTCGGGAGACACAGTGAGGCTTTTCTGTATATACAATTATCATAATGATACTAAATAATAATTTGGCAGATTTCCATTCCATTCTCAAGCAGACTTCAGCACATTGACGTCCTTTATCCTTTTCGTTCCTGTTGAGCGTAATGTGAAAAGATGTGTCCCTTGTTTTGAGTGTTTATATTGAATATAAGGCCGTTGTGAGTGAACAAACAGCATGCAGCAATATCAGTTGTGTGATTGCTGTCAGGACATTTAAAATGTGTGATCCAAATTTGTTTTAATTCCCAAACCTAGATTGTCTCATACTGTAAGGTTGTCTTGTTTGTTTGTATGTTCCTACGAAGCTCGATTCATCTTTGTATATTGGCAAAGTGGCACATTAATCTCAATCGATTGACATATATCCAGGCTGAGCTATTTATAGATACATACTCTTTAGTTTTTTCGGTAAAGTCACGTAGGTAAAATAAAATAATATAATAATAAAACAACTAAATTAAATCACGACGTTTCGGAGGGAACACAAGCTTCCGTCTTCAGGTGGAACAGTCACAGCAAGATAGCTGCATCAAGTTCCACCTGAAGACGGAAGCTTGTGTTGCCTCCGAAACGTCGTGATTTAATTGTTTTATTTTATTTTACCTACGTGACTTTACCGAAAAAACAAAGAGTATGAATCCTTGCAGTCACGAAAGCTTCAAATCTAGAACTATTTATAGATACTCAACAATTTATAATGACCTTATTTCTAATGACTTCAGCTTCATGCATCATTCAATGTGGGATGCAAATCTAACAGGCTATATTAGACAAACGGCATGAGGAGTGTGTTTAAATATTTAAATGTTTTCTCAATGACATATCCCTATAATTGTAGTGGGGTATCTATAAAAGATATCGTCTTTGTGTAGTTTCTGTTTCAATATTTCAGTTTGTGTGTGTCACTATTTTTAGGTGTGCATTTACTTAAAAAATGTTATCACACCTAAACATATAAATATATTTACTTTTTAAATCGTTGCTGGAATCCAAACACAATGCACAACCTTGCTGCCTTATGTTGGAACTTTGAGACATATATCACTTCTGTAAATGGTCTCAAGACAACACTTGAAACACACTTCACTGTCTTGGCAGAAAGTTATGAAAGAAATAAAAGTATTCCTTGACCGCCTCCCTCCCAGTGTGAATTTGGCACGGTCCATGCGGTTTCGTCGCATGACGCACACAAACTGTTTCTGACCCGGGGCACGGGTTTGGGAAGTTTTACACGATTAATCTGAGTTTCAGGTTTCTCTGGCAAATGAAGACGTTTCACCTGCAGGCCTGTGGTCCCTGGTTTCTGCATCTCGCTTTCCAGCATGCATTTGTCCTTTGAAGTATTTGCTATTTATTAATGCGTTATACTTGAGTAAGTGGGCAAGTTAATTATGGATGCATGACTCCATCCTTATGGTGATATTTTATTACAGTAAAAATCCATTGAATTCTGACGAGCTGTTTTAGAATGACTTACACCTAATTATAGAAGAAACCCCTTTCCTGCAGCTCATGCAAGCAGCATTGATTTATTGCCCTTTCTTTAGCCCCAGAATAGCTGCAGAATGCCCCATCCCCCTCTGCGTTTCCATCTGTGATGGAGGTATTCCTCCTCCACTTGTTTACCAAGGCATGAATCAGACCTGTGATGTTGTTTACTCGTCGGGCTTATAAAAGGTGAAATTCCAGATTGCTATGACCAGCACAGTGATTTGTCTGTCTGCAAGTGCACGTCCTATCTGGAGATCACTGTATTCCTCCAAAATTGATCTACAGAGTGCAGATTACAATGGTCTCCATGAATCTGTCGACCCAGGGGAAGGCCTAAGACCAGATGGTGAGACACTATTAGGCAGATATTTGAGGTCATGCATCTCCTGTGCAGCAGCTGCAGGATCTGGCAGTAGGTAGAAAGGTGCCGCTGGCACTAGAGGCCGTAATATCATCTAGACCTTCTTGTGACCAGCCCAGAGAATGCTGTGTCTGTAAACGCAAGGCTTCATCTATAGTTCATTGTGTTCCTTCCAAAGGAACCTGTACTCTGACAATCGAAGATATGCCGATTTTGCTAATAAACCAAAAAAATTGGCATACGTGTCCACGTGACAACCTGATTGGATTGGCTTTGTTAGGTGGTAGAGGGATATAGTTTAACATTGGCATTATACCTACACGATGATCTAACGCAAGATAAACTAATTGTGAATCATTGTAGTTTTGCATGTTCGCCCTGCTACTGCAGTGAGAGAAAAAAGTATTTGATCCCCTGCTGATTTTGTACGTTTACCCACTGACAAAGAAATGATCAGTCTATAATTTTAATGGTAGGTTTATTTGAACAGTGAGAGACAGAATAACAACAACAAAATCCAGAAAAACGCATGTCAAAAATGTTATAAATTGATTTGCATTTTAATGAGGGAAATAAGTATTTGACCCCTCTGCAAAACATGACTTAGTACTTGTTGGCAAAACCCTTGTTGGCAATCACAGAGGTCAGACGTTTCTTGTAGTTGGCCACCAGGTTTGCACGCATCTCAGGAGGGAT